CAGGCCGCAGCTCGTGTGCTGCAAGGGTTCCAGCAGCTGCTGCTGGAAGTCCCTCCTGGTCCACCCTGAGAGGCCCTCCAGTCCAGACCATGCTCTTCTTCCTCTTCCTTGTTTGCATCGGCCTTGTCACCTTCTTCTTCATTTCCTTGGCGAATGCCCAGATTTCCTTCACCTCTTTGTATCTCTTCCTGAGGGTGAGCATGGTCTGGACGGATGCCCTCCTCCTCCTCCTCGCCTCTTCGAGGGCTCTCCTGGCCGCTGCTCTCTGGTTCATGGCTGCTATTCTGCGGCTGAACCAGAGAGTCAAGAGCAGGCCCAGGGCTGCAGCAGGAGCCGAGAAGTGCCACTGCTGGAGGGCAGCCCAGAGCAGGGCTCTCCCGGCACGCAGAGCGCGCTCCAGGGGGCCCTGCTCCAGCTCCTGCTGCATCCGAGTCATCTCCCTCTGGAGATGGTGCGTGCGCAGCTCCATGCGCTCCCGCGTCACCTCGTCCAATCCGTCGCCCATCGGCAGCGGATAGTGGATGAGGCTCTGCAGAAGCAAAGCAAGGACCATTGCCCGAGTCATAGCGTGCAGGGGAGAGAGAGTAGGGGGTGCCCACTCCCTGCCTCTGCCCAGACTGGACTGGGGCAGCGTTACCTGTGGTGGCCTTTTATACTTGCCTCCATTGTGACACGTCCCATGTGACGTCACAGACACCAGAGGCATCACAGCCAGGCCAGCCCCGCCCTTTGTGCCCACCCCGTCTCAGCCACTGCCAGTGGGCAACCAGAGCCCCGACAGCCGCCAAGTGCAGCCCCAGCGGCAGGGAATGGGCCCCCAGGGGCTCCCTTCCCATCGCGGGCAGAAGCCCCCCATCCCTTGTCAAATGTAACGGTGGGGGACATGGCCCTTGGACGCTTTGCTCCTTTGGATCCCCTGCTGTGCAACGGGATCAGTTCCCTCGGGGCTGACCTCTGGGCTTGTGGGGGTGCTGCTGGAGCCTTTGGGACACCTCTGGGTGCTTGGTGGTGAATATCCTGGTGGTGGGATGGGTCCTCTCCGTGGCAGGATCTCTGTTGCTGCTTGGCACTGTGAGGGGACCTTGGTTGCAAAGAGACATTGCCCAGGAGTGAGGAGGAGCTGTGGGGGTGGATTTCCCCGAAGGAGACTGTAGCAACACCAAGTCGGGGCTCCTTTAGATCAAGAATGAAGCAGGGGGTGGTTCTGGCCCAGAATTTGAGCTGTTTGCAACATAGTAAAACGTGTGTGTTAAGCAGGGATAGGTCAACCCGTGTTGCCCCTGAAGGCCAGAGCAAAATGGAAGAATCTAACGTAAAACTGCATTCCGGGTAGCCCTGGTTGGATGGGACACCCCGTGTGCAGCAATAAAGAACGGCTTTGCCTCAGACGGGGCCTCCTGTGACAATGACTCCTTCCTGAGCAGTTTTGACGCAGAGTGTGGCCGACTTCCCCTGAGCGACACCTCCATGCGAGGTGACCCACTGTCCTCATTCTCATTGGGTTCCCCTTGCAAGACCCCCCCTTACCCCCAATTCTGTCAGGGCCCCTGGGGAGGTGGGAGAGTGCCAGAGGAGAGGTGCCGTCTGTGTGGCCGTGCCCCCTGTCCCTTCAGTCCCTGTGTTCCGGCAGGCGCACCTCAACAATTCCTTGTTTCCCTTTCCAACAACGGCCTTTGGCAGACACTGAGAGAAGTGTCCAGAAAAGAAGCCAACATGGTTGTTCTTTCAGGAATCCTCCCCCAAGCTTTGGCCGCGCATGAGCTCCAAACCAGTAATCTGTGCCTTTGCATGCAAGAGTGTAGCAGAGCCCAGTGCCCAGGCGGCCAGTGAGGTGGCACCAGATCCCTGGGGAGCATAGAGGATGTCTAATGCATGAAAGGTGTTGGAATTGAGCAGAAAAGAGACCCCCTTGAGTGTCAGCTGGTCCTCCGAGATCAGGTGGGCTGGGTGCAAGTAGGTTGAATTTCAGATTAGAACCAATTCAGCACTGCAGGTCTGGTTGAGTCCAATGAGAACTTGGACAATCCAGATTGGGAACAATCTTTTTTATTGAAACAACAGGTTCAATCAACCAGTTGATTGGCTCCAAAGAAGCCAGGTGGGAAGCAGAGGGGAGACAGGGTGAGCTGTGGGTAGGTGGGAGGGCCACTGCTCCCCCCCCTGCCCTGGGAGCCTTTGTCAGTCTCTGGGCCACAGCCAAATGGCGGCGGCCGAAGGCACGGCCTGCCCCAAAATGGCGGCTGGACCCATGGCCTGTCCCGGACTGGAAGTGCTTATGGATTTGTTGGGGAGAAACGCACCTACTATATGTTACCTACTTATATTTTTTGGGGGCATAAATGAACTAACTACATGTAAAGAACTAACATGTTTATGTGGACTACATCTAAATTACTTTTACATTTCGGCGTGGATATATATGTGACCTACATGTACCTACAAATATATTAGCTAAGGAACCACATGTACACTTCGAACATATTTGTCAGGGAACTATCTTTTGACTACCTAAATATTTGTTGGGGGTAAAGTTGCTATACTACATCTTAACTGCAGAAGCAAAGCCAGGAGTATTGTCCAAGTCATGGCGTGCAGGAGAGAGAGAGTAGGGAGTGCCCACTCCCTGCCTCTGCCCAGACTGGACTGGGGCAGCGTTACCTGTGGGGGCCACGGAGAGCTACCCCCATTGTGACATATGTACCTACGAATATATTAGCTGGGGAACTACATGTAAACTTCAAACATATTTGTTGGGGAACTATCTTTTGACTACTAAAATATTTGTTGGGGGTAAATGCCACGGCCCGAGGGTAAAACGGATAAGGACATGGCACCACACAAAAGGGTTCAGATGCAGTTGAAAATCTGGGTGAAATACTAGTTTATTAAGGGAAGACAGGGACTTATATAGGGGAAGTGTGAGAGGAGGATTCATGACTGGGGTGGAGCATGGGATTGACAACCAAGGGTGAGACAGGATTGGGAGACAGGAGAAAGGTGTGTGTAACTTATGGGTATCCAGGGGAAGGGACCAATGGGAGCTCACTCCGCACTGCGGCAACTCTCAGCCAATCAGTGGGAGATGAGCGGGAAAGCAGGGGAGAACAAGGGAGTAAACAACTTTTGGCGGGAAAATCTGAGGGACCAAGGGGAATAACATTGGTGCACATGAAACTTGATATAAAACCCATGATGAACTGGGGAGTAACAGGTCAATCCAATAGAATAATAGTCCATTCAGGCTCCATAAATATCTCTCCAAGCCTGGAATCGTTCCCAGTCCGATTTTCTGTCCTCCTCACCTACGAATATATTAGCTGGGGAACTACATGTAAACTTCAAACATATTTGTTGGGAAACTATCTTTTGACTACTAAAATATTTGTTGGGGATAAAGTTGCTATACTACATCTTAACTGCTTCGAAATTAATTACTAACAATATGCAGTCTGCCTCTCTATAGGCTTTCTAAACTAAGTCAGGGACTAGGTGAAGGTTCTCAGGGCCCCAGCAGCAGGGAATGGGCCCCCAGGGGCTCCCTTCCCAAAGCAGGCAGAAGCCCCCAATCCCTTGTAAATGGAACAGTGGGGGACATGACCCGTGGACGCTTTGCTCCTTGAGATCCCCTGGTGTGGGATGGGATCAGTTCCTTTAGGGCTGACCTCTGGGCTTGTGGGGTTGCTTCTGGAGCCTTTGGGACACCGCTGGGTGCTTGGTGGTGAATATCCTGGTGGTGGGATGGGACATCTCTGTGGCGGGATCTCTGTTCTTGTTGGGCACTGTGAGGGGACCTTGGTTACAAAGAGACACCTCCCGGGAGTGAGGAGCAGACGTGGGTGGTGATTGCCAAGGACACTGTAGCCACACCAACTCCAGGCTCCTTTAGATCAAGAATGAAGCAGAGGGGTGGTTCAGGCACAGAATTTGAGCTGTTTTAAATTTATAATACCTGTGTGTTACGTAGTGATGGGTGATCTCCAATTGTGCCTGAATGCCAGAGGGAAATGTAAGAATCCAAAGTAAAACTGCATGGTGGGTGCCCCTGGTTGTGTGGGACACTTTGTGTGCAGCAGTAGAGAACAATCTGCCCTCAGAAGGGACCTGCTGCAGCCTGGGGTTTGAAAGGTTTCGCAACAGCAAATAGGGTTCGAGTGAAGTAAAAGATTGAGTCAGGTTGTCACTATGCTATCATGCTTTATTCTAGCCGGGGGAAGACTTATATAGGGTAGCGTGAGGAAGGGTCTGGAAAACAGGGAGGAGCATGGGACTGACAGGGGTGATGACCAGTCAAGAAAGGAGGGAGGGAACACAGGATCAGCAGGGACCAATGAGGGAAACATCTGCTATGCAGCAAATGGGAGCCAACAGGAAAAATGGAGGGTACTATGAGGGGTAAATACACTAAAACTTGAAAAATTCGGAATAAAACTGTCCGGAATAGATTCATTGGTAACACTAAAACAGTCTTTTCCATTATCAGCTGCTCCTCAGTACCGGTGTCACAACCTATTGCTTTCAGGCAGGTGCTTGATCCCCTCTGTTTCTCTCTGCGCCTGCTGCAGCTCCTCTTGCCATCTTTGTAACAGTTCCTCCTCACAGCATGTGCCCTTCTCAGAGACCTCCTGGGACAGTGACCCACCTGGTTTTTCCTTCCTGAGCAGTTTTGGCACAGAGTGTGGCCAACTTCCCCTGAGCGACACCTCCATGCGAGGTGACCCACTGTCCTCATTCTCGTTGGGTTCCCCTTGCAGAGCCCCTGGGGAGGTGGGAGAGTGGCAGAGGAGAGGTGCTGTCTGTGTTGCTGTGCCCCTTGTCATTTTAGTCCCAGTGTTCAGGCAGGTGCAGAGAGGATGGGGGATCCTCCCTGCCATGGGTACTGTCTGCCTGTGGGGGCTCCTTAGACCCCAGATCAGTTATTTTGGGGTCAGAACCACCTGGTGGGGGTATGTGTGTGTGTGTGTGAGGGGGAAGGTGGCGTGAGAAGGGCAAGGCCTAGACCTGCAGCCAAGATGGCTGAGATCCCAAGACAAGGAAGGGCTTGTGGCTGGGCTCTCAATCAATGACCCTCCTGGTGGCCCAACCACCCCACACCCCTGAGCGAAATCTCTTGAAGTCTAAAATTAAAGTGTAACAGCTGGTAAGAGCTTGCAGCTTCTAGACCAGGGTGCAACAGGGGCCTGTGCCAGGGCTGGCCATGTGTGTCCCTGTCACTCCCTTTGGCACTCCTCCCGCTGCTCCCCTCCTCCCGGAGCCCTGTCCCTGGGCACAGCAATTCCCTCAGTGTGTGTCCAGGGAAGGTGGTTTAATTCCTTCAGGCCTTTGCATGGGAGAAACAACCAAATTCTCAGGAGGTTCAGTAATCAACTTCTACTTGCAAACTGAAGAACGTTAAGGTGGTATGAGGTATATCCCTATATGATAAATAAAATGCAAATTTTAAAACAACATCCAGACAAAGAAGGGCCCTTCACAAACTTTAATTCAGCAAACTGGAACTTATCCAGACACCACAAGGCACTTGGTTTCTTTCTTTTGGTTGGTTTTTGGGTTTTTTTTTAAATGAAGGCTTAGAATTCTAGTTAATTTTGATCCTGTCTCCTAGACTTTACTTTTCATCATTGTATGACAATCCTCATTTTTCTCCTGGGATGTTCATTCACACTGTGTTGAATACTTTTTTCTTTTCATTCATTGAAGCAGCTTCTCTGTATTTCCAATGTCTTTTTCTTCTTCTTGTTTGTGTATATAGTAGTATTTCTCTGCGTTGCAAGGTTTACACAAGTTTATAGCATTATAGTGAGAAGGAAGGGACAAACAGTTGAACCCTGTGTCTACAAAAGCAGAAATATCAAATGCAGTAATTATAATCAATCTAAATGGGGAAAGTAGCATCCATCTTGTCACAGAAATTCTCCATTAACTTATGATTCTGGATTTTTAAGGCACATGTACGCAATAGCACTAAATGCACATTTCCTAGGTTTTTCTTCTCTTTCCACTTGCTTTTGTGCATATTTGAGAAGGGTCTGAGAATGTTTGATTGGAGGATGCCAATAATACACTAGTAATAAACCGAATTAATGATGTGTTAGAGATTTTGACACTTTATCTCATCTTTCTTGGTCTAGCAGGAGATTCTCCTGACAACCTACAAGCAGTAGCAGTTTTCATACCCTCAGCTGATTTAAAAGAAGTGTCCTCCTCTTGAACCAACTCTCCAGGGAGCATGAAAAGTGATTTAGGTGATCCTATCTTATCCATAATGGGATCTGCTCGGGCTGCCCTTCTTGAGTCTGCCCTCTGTGCAGGCAGAGGACCCTGGCTGTGGCAGGGGGAGCAAAAACAGAAGAAGTGCTTGAGTGCAGAGTGTGTTTTTAGCCTCAGATGGCAACAGAGGTAACTATGGCCTGGCAGAGGGGTTTAAAAGTGTGAAAGAGCAGGCAGGACACCTTAGGTTAGCTCAGAGGTTGAGGTTTGGATCGCTTTCCTTAAAAAGCATGATTTTTTAAAGTCTTTCAGTATTATCATCATTTATTCATCTCAGACCTTTCTTTTTTTCTTTCTTGTGGGATTTAATCCAATGGAAGACAAGTATCATGGAGAAGAAAGATGGTGTGGGGAACCGAGGCATAGATTCTAACAGCCTAAGAAACACTGGGGAAAAAAAAACCTATTCAGAAGATCTTTTTCATCCTAAAAATTAAGTTCAAGCTCTGACATCAGATCACATTCAAAGAGACAGGGCAGATGAATTGAATCCCTTGATTTTTGTGTTCCATTTAAAAAAAAAGGAAAAGAAAAAGAAAGAGAAACTCAACCTTATCACAAGGTGATGGATCCCATGGATTGCCCTTACCTTTCCCCTTTTTACAGAGGGACCATGGATGACATGTTGAGACTGGATATCCACATTCTAGACATCTAAAATGATAGAAGTCAAATTACACCTTTTTCATTTTCTTTCCAGTTTCCAAGAAAGCAGCGTGTCCCTTCTGGAATGTATCCTGAAAGCACACAGGCTGCCTTGCCCACCCTCTGCTGTCCATATCCTCTCTGCAGACATGCCTGGCTGCACTTCTTTGCAGGGCAACAGGACTAAAGGCAGAGAAGGGAGGTCTCCAGTTCAGTGGCAGTGTTGCATATCAAGGAGCAGCTCACATACCCCCTGGGCAGCAAGTTAATGCCAATTGATTCAGCAGATGGAAACAGCCTCTCAGTCCTAGCAAGAATAAAATTATTTTTTGTTTTTACAACATACATCTATTCTCCGCCTATTTTCTGCCTTCCACCCCCCTTCGACCTCTTTCTACTTGGCAAACCAGTGTGTTCTGAGCTTGTTTGGGTGGCTTTTGACAGCTATTATATTTCTGAGCCCCCACACTTCTCAGGCTGCACCATGAAGATGAGGAGATGATGGGGGCTTTATCATCTGTGTTCAGCTCTCCAGGCTATCCCCTCTCACACTTAGGGAGGACAAAATGACCCTGAAGAAGGTGTAAGTAAATGTGTTTTGAGATCTACTCCTTTCCAGTTGTGACTTTTCCATTTTTTATTTTTCTCCTATTACAGAGAATCCTCCTTTGGACCAAATACACAGAGTATTTCCGTGATCCTGCCACAGAGGCAGATTTAAATAGTTGAGTGAAGTTGACATTTTAGTGTTAACAGGCATAACTCCAGGGTGAGTTTACTCCTCCCAAGGTGTGTGAGGAAAACCTGTGTTCCTCCCCATTCAAGTAGCTCCTCTGTTAAATGTAGGTACAATCAGGGTGTGCAGCCAAGGCAACGGAGATTATCTAAATTGTAATTGAGACAACAATATCACAGTGTTTTATAAATAACTGATGAAATTTTTGTAGCAGTTTTTCAAGATGTCCTGTATGAGAAAATGAACTCCTGAGAAACTGAGTCTTTCTGCAGACAGATTATACCAATTATAGGATATAATCACAGAACTTTAAGGTTGGAAAAGACCTCTCAGATCGTTGAGTCCAACTGTTAAATGTTAAGGGCTGTTAAAAAAGACACTTCTTCAGTGGCAGTTTGCTCCCACCACCCAGCAATACTGCTCCTGTCAACCTTGTCCAATATAATCTTGTATAAAACTTGGAGTGAGTCATAGGAATTAGTGAGAAATAGGCAAAGGTCTTGCACAGAGCGGGGAGAATTTTATTATCCAAATAGTTTCCTGTATTCACTCAACTTTTATACCATCTCTAGTGCTTCCAGTCCAGGTCTGAGTGTGGAGAGGAGGGATGATGGAAAGATGCATTCCCTGTTTGGATGTTTCTTACAGGCTTGTTTTTAGTTCCTGATATTTCTCTGAAATTCATTGTTGAGTTTTCCTGCTTTTTCCAGTTAATGGTCACAGTTATTAAATGAAATGAGCATGATCCTTAGTTGATAGAAATCAGCACAACCCACAAAAAAAATTAGTCACTCAAGATTCCGAGGCCTGAGTTTTGCAAAAATCCCATCCAATAATCCTTGCAATAAGCCAAATAATCACCAGATTACAGAGGTTTGTGGCCTTACCAACACGCTTTGCATTGCATTGTATTTACCAGCCAGGTAATTAGAGGGCTCAAGACCAACTTTCAAACTTTGAAGTTTCTTCAAAGAGAAGAAAAGAAAGGAATGATTACCCACACAGTGGACCATTTTGATTGTGAATCATGGAGTTATATGTTGCTTCCCATACCCTGTTAGGCCACAGGATATACTAATTTTCTATGTATTGCAGCCATAAATAAGGTAGTTTTCAGAAAATGGAACAAGGAATCCAATCACTAGAAATCCCTTCCTGGCAATGGTCACTCATTACAAGCCCAAACCTATTCATCAGCAGCCTTTCATACCTTTTGCTCATATAGTTTGGATGATTCACCCTCCAGGAAAAGTGATTGATTTGCACTTAAGTGACCCATTTCCTTCTGAAAGGTGTCAGAGAGCCCTTATCAGTCAGACTCCTTGTCTTTGCTTCAGTATAACTTGTCTTGGCTCCTTTCTCTGGGTTAGATAGTGCAACTCCTCAGCTTTCACATTGAGGAAATGGATTTAGAGCAAGTTGGCACAATCTCTTAGTGGAAAAGCGAGTGCCAGCTTTTCATGTTTTGTACTGAACTGAACACTGATTGCAATTTAGGAGACAACCCTAATAGTCCTGAGGGCAAACCAAGGGAGAACTCATTCCTACAGTCTCCTTGAGAATCCTTATACTGTGGTGAGAGGGAACATCTCCATCCCACCCTCTGGGCTGATGTTACCTTCCCCACAAATCCCTCCACATCCTCAAATTTAATGCAGACTCAGCTCTACTTTCTGTACTTATACGGTCCCTCCTGCGGAGGGATGGGTTCGTTGTTCTGATGGAAAGTTTTAGTACTCTTAGAAAACAGTGCCAGCTGGAATATCCACTCTCTGTGTGTCCAGCAAGCCGCATTTTCCATTTCCTCAGTAAAAATCCTCTTGGCTATAGCAAGTGCTGCAGAAACCCACAGACTCATGCAAATGAGGAATGACGCAGATTGGGATCCTGCAGGTTGGAGCTGCAGATTTGAGGACGAGAAATGAAATTGGATGCTTCATAACATGAGGTTCATCTCCTCCAGGTGTCAGTCAGGTCACTGTATCTCAGTTCAGTGACGTTTCACAGCAGTAATAGATGTGATTTTGCAGGGAGGCTGTGCCAGCACCACTCGTCCCTTTATCAGGCAACTGCTTTTCTTGGTGCAGGCTCATGGATTTCCAATAGTTATCTATGAAAACAATCTTGTTTTGGAAAAAACTTTTGGAGTAATAGGTTTGAGGCTTTCTGGATATAACACTGAGCCAATTCTCAGTTGCTGACAGAAATAACTAATTACATTGTTTGCATATATTTTTAAGTCATGGCTTGTCACTTCCTGTTTCCTATTTTAGAAAAATCAAAAGTCCCTGATTTAGGTCCAGATTCTCAAACTTTTTCATACTGAATAAACACTGACTTACACCAGTTAAGAAAATAGCATGAAGATTTTCTTGGGCTTGGTGTGGTTATTTTATTCTTTTGGCTTCCTGAGTAAAATATATTTTGTCAAATAACAACCTGGGAGCTGTGCAGTCTCTGTTCTCTTGCACGTGAATGTAAAAAACCTGGAAAAGGTCCAGTATTTGAAGCTTGGTATTCACTGGTGGAGCTGATGACCCACAGAGACAAAACTGGAATCCAGGGCAATGACACTCATAACCAAGATATTTTTTCAGCATAGTCCAGTTTTTCCTGTGACAGTCACTCTTCTAGTTCTGTGGAATACACGACACTCTTAAGATCCATGCCCAAGTTTTTTCACAAGCTGTGCAAGATTCCCAAGATGTTGGAGATCAGAGACAGCTTGAGCAAGACACTATAAACCCAGATGGATGTCATGGGGGTAGGAAGTCTCAGTCATCATTTACTGCTAGAGCTTTACATTTACAGCTCTGGAGTATCCAAGAATTTTATGTACACCTCCTCCTGGGCTTGTGCTCTAAGTCTACCTCAGCTTCCCAAATGCAACCTCATGACATTACCATTCCTCTGTTGTGCAAAGATATGAAGGCAGGCTGACAGAGTTGGGATTGTTCAACCTGGAGAAGAGAAAGGTTCCAGGGAGACTTTATTGTGACATTTCAGTATTTAAAGTATATAAAAAGGTAGAGACGGAGACTTTTTATACTGGCAAATAGTGATAGGACAGGGGGGAATAATTTTAAACTAACAGACAAGAAGTTTAGGATGTTAGGAAGAAAATGTTGGCTGTGAGGGTGGTGAGGCCCTGGCACAGGTTGCCCAGAGAAGCTGTGGCTGCCCCTGGATCCCTGGAAGTGTCCAAGGCCAGGTTGGACAGGGCTTGGAGCAACCTGGGCTAGTGGAAGGTGTCCCTGCCCGTGGCAGGGAGGGTGTAACAAGATACTAGAAAAACCTTCAAGCTACGTCAGAGCAAGGAGGGGTTTAAAAAGAGTCTGAACCAGATTCCTACCTGGTGACAGCTGCTGTGGAGAGAGCTCTTCTCATTTTGCCCTGTCAAAGACTCTGCCTCACTTCCTTCCTTCACCTCAGTCAAAATCATCTCCAGGAATGGGTTGCGAGGGAATATGTGACAACGCTTCAGTGTTCTTGAGTGTTTTTTTAAATACAGAATCATAGAATGCTTTGGGTCAGAAAGGACTTTTCAAGGTCATCTAGTCCGACCTCCCTGCCATGGGCAGGGACATCTTCAACTAGACAAGGTTGCTCAGAGCCCCATCCAGCCTGACATTGAGTGTTTCCAAGCATGGGGCAGCCACCACCTCTCTGGGCGACCTGTGCCAGTGCCTCACCACCTCACTGGAAAAAATTTCTTCCTTATATCTTGTCTGAATCTAACTCTTTTAGTTTAAAATCCTTGTCCTGTCACAACAGACCCTGTCAAAATTCTGTCCTTATCTTTTCTATAACCCCCTTTAGGCACTGGAAGGAACTTGAGTCTCCCTGGAGCCTTCTCTTCTCCAGGCTGAACAACCCCAACTCTCTCAGCCTGTCTCCATGGCGGAGGTGCTCCAGCTCTCATGGCATCTTCATGGCGTCCTCTGGACCTGATCCAACAGGTCCATGTCTTTCCCGTGCTGAATACAAGCCTCATCACTGGTGTCTAATTGCAAACTGACCCAGTGCAGCCCCAGTTGCAGATGCAATCTGCCAAAAATGTCTCCCCATGTGTACCTTCCCAGAGAGCTGCAGGGAGCCTCTTGCATATACTGGGATTTTGGGGGTGAGAAGCACTGGGGCAGCACAAGGCATTATTATATTCTGTAGATGCATTTTGCCAGGTTCTGACCTTTCAGATTCCTGTTGAATGTCTTTTCCTTGCAAGAAAAGAAAAGAGTTAACATTTCGCTCCTGGTTTTCAACCTCAGCAGAATAGATTTTAACAGGGCATGAAAACAATAATCCTTGTCAACTTCCTTCCTTTAACCTTTAAGGGGAGTTTTGTCTTCCCATGAACTCTGCTTCTGCTTTGTAATTTGAACTTGATATTAGAAACCTGGCATTTTAAAACTGATACACATTTCTGATCAAAGATGCTGATGCTTGAAAGGACCTGTGTCACCAAGCCCTCTCCCTGGCTCAGCTGGTGTTATTTCCTGAGGTTTAAACAGATTGTTCCTCTTTTGGTTTTCTCATTGATCTGTCTCATTCTGTATTTCAGTATCTTCCTCAGTCCAGGGTATATATATTATCTCTCTCTTACTCCAACAGAAGAAAATCCTCTGAGTCCATGAGCTCTGCACTGATCTTGGACCAAGATATTCTGCTCTCATTTTCCGCTCTGCACTCACAGCTTAGTGTAAAGCAGTTAGGATGAGAGATGACAATCTCTCTCAGGAGAGTGCTTATGTTGTTCAGCTACATGTGATTTTGTGGTACTTAACACATTCTTACAGCATGTGACCCCTTCCTTGGGTAGTATTGCATGATGAAGGCACTTGGGGGCTTTTGGAAATCTTTTCTATTTGCATTTCTAGGTACCTAAGAACTTCAGAAAACCTGACCTTTGCTTACATATGTCACATGTTCAGATATTGTGCTTTTAATTGATTGTAGAAATTTCCAGTCCCTAATTTGTAGTTCGATTTGACTCAGATTTTACACTTATCCATTGACTACTGTAGTGTTTCACTCATGGAAGTGAAACTTGGATTAGCTTTTAAAATGGTAGGTTCTCCTTTGTAACTAGACTGAGTGGTCTAAACTCTTCTTTCAGCTATTTCCATCTAAATGTGAGTTCACTCTGCAAATCCAAATGGAGTTTGTCTGGATTTGGGTTGGAGCAGTTCAGAACAGACTGTACAGAGCCCTGCTATTTGAATTTGGACACCTACTGATATCATCAGCCCAATTCCCCTTTCCCTCCATAGAGCCAACTCCATGAAATGTTTCAGGAAACAGCAGGGATCAATAGATGGTCCTCAGTGATTATAAATGATAGCACATCACAGATTTCAAGACAGCTTCACTTAAATACACACCAAGCTGGATGTCAGCTGTTATTAATGTCTTTAAAAGGAGCTGAAGACATTATTTATTTACTTACAAACTCTGCAACTACTTTCTTTGGTGCCAAAAGGCTCACACTGACATTGCAAGCCATGGTCTTTTAAGACACTCCTGTGCCAGTTTTATATGATGTGGAAGATGGTAGGACTGGACTAGCAATATTTTTTTGGCTGCTAGTCCGCTATAGACAGGAATTAAGACCACATTTCCAACTGGTGGTACTTCCCAAATTCTCCCTTCCCCCAGTCATCATCCTTTCTAGAGAGGGCAGAACACCCAGTGGGAGGAGATGGTGGTTTAATTGCTAAGTGATCCTTCCAAAGGGATAATGCTTCTGCTCCTCAGCAAATCCAGGAGCCAGTGGAGAGGAAGCAGACATGGAGTCAGCTCTCTTCTGTCTCCTGCTGAGACACTGCCCATGAAAGCCCAGTCTGAAGCTTGAACTCTTCAGTGCAAAGACCATTTGTCTTTGAAAGACAAATTGAGTGGTGACTTTCCTAAAGAAGTGATAATATTTTAATGGCAGAAAGACAGAAGAATAATACAATTAGGAGAAAGGGGAGGTTTGACTGAACAGAAATAGCTGGAGAAGTGCACTGAGGTGCTGAAGGAGTGAATCCTGGCAGGGTGGCAGAGCAACTGTGATGTGACTCTCAGAGGGCAGAAAAACACACAGTGACACAGTTCTCACCCGCCTGTTCTTTACTAGGAGTTTATTATATTGAACAGGGCCCCCTTTTTCAGATCAGACTGCTTTTGGATTCTTGGAAATTTGACAAAAATATCTCCTGAGAACTGGCCTGTTTCCTCTGTTTTCTAGCTGACCTTTTAATGAGGTCTCATTTTGCTTCCATAAGCTAGAACAGAGTGTGGGAGACCAGCACAAGATGTGCATTGTCTTTCTAGGATTTCACAACTGGTTTATTCTCCTGTACATTTCCACTATCTAGGGACCAAATCCTAAAACAGTTTTCTTTTCTCTACAGTGAGAGATGCTGTTCTTTGAGGAACCAACAGAACGCGTACACTGACCCTTGAAACCACCACTATTCTCAGAGGTCTTAAAATAGCCACTATTTCACTGTATCTTCTTTCATTACTTAAAGCAAATCTTCCATTTGGAAGAGTTTGGGTTGTTTGGTTGTTTTTTTCTCAAACAAATAAAGGGGGTGTGAACATTGACTGTGTTCCTGAAACAAGGATCAAAAAAATCCTTTGATCTGGCTCCTAACAAAGTAATCCCACATACAAGACCTAATCCCAATATTATTCTAAGGATGGATCAGCCTTAGAATTTCCAGCTTTGGATGTGTGTTGTCCAGTAAAATGAATGCAACATGGCTTCCCAGCATGGTTGTGTTTACTGAAGATCCCTGTGACCACACTGTCAAATCACCATCCAGTCTAATACAGGACAAGAGGAAACAGCCTCAAGTTGTGCCGGGGGGATGGGGGGGGGGGGAGGGATGTAGATTGGATATTAGGAAAGAAATCTTCACCAAAGGGTTGTTCAGCCCTGGCACAGCTGCCCAGGGCAGTGCTGGAGTCCCCATCCCTGGAGGGATTTAAAAGCCCTGTGGATGTGGCACCTGGGGACATGGGTTAGTGGTGGCCTTGGAACTGCAGAATTAACAGTGGGGCTCAGTAATATTAGGAGTCTTTTCCAACCCAAACAATTCTGTGATTCCATGATCCAACAGAGGATCACAACACACTGCTTTGCTGCAGGTGCAGATTTAGTCCTTATGCTGCTGGGTGTTTAATCAGAAAGCTCTGAGCCCACTTGTATGTATTTTCCAACAATTCCTTACAGCTTAGATCAAAAAGACAAGGAATAGAAAATAACTGTGTGATGGGAGACAGAGATTCATGCACCTGCTCCTCATGATAAGTGGCAGAGAGTGAAGTGTTCGTACTCCTGCTAATCAGGATAAAGCAGAGCCGGGCACTTGTAAGGTTTTGAAAAATGGAAGTGATAATATTGCGTAGATGTGCTCACACACACATAATCCTTGTTATAGGACCATTTCTTAATGGTGTTTTGGTCTGTAGATCTCAGCAACAGCTTTAACTGATCAACTGATCTGCAGAAGAAAATAAATAGCTTGGTACAACAGGATGATGGCCTGGGCTATTCCAGGCTGAGACAGCAAACAACTTGTGATTGCTTCCCATAACTCATCCCAGTCTTTAGTGTTGCAAAAAGATGTGGATTCAGCCTGTCAGGTCAAAGGAGATGGGACATGATAACAATGTGCACTTGCCTGGCATGTTCCTGGATTTGAAAGAAACCTTTACTATGTAGAGGTCACATAGCAAACCAGAAAATGTTTAGTGGATGTCTTCAGACAGAACCTCAAGGACAGTTGGAAGTCACAAGGCAGCTGCTGAAGGCAGGATTTGTTGGGCTGCTCAGAGCAGAGCCTGGGCTGCCTGAGGCTTTCTGAAGGCAGCTGGCACATCTCATTATCTGGAAGAGAAAACAGAACCCAAACAAACCAAGAGCTCAACTCTGGACAAATACAACTTCAGGGTGACTTTGCAAACTGGATTTTAGTGTTGTCTCACGTCAACAGCTAATTATTGCTCTGCATAAAGTCCTTGAGATGGTAAAATATGAGGGACTGACACTATTCATCTTCTGGTTGCTCCAGATAAGGATCACAGGCTTAACAGAGTTGGTACTGAGTTACTATTTTTAGAGATGCAAAAGTTTACCCACTAAAGATATTTCTTGTGCATATAGTTTATTACTTTTGTGATGCACTTAAAATAGTAGGTTTATGATCTCTGCTTTTCTGTGGAAGAAAGAATTAAATCTCATTTATAAGGACTTCCTTTCTACTTCTATGAGCCTCTTACATATTATTTGCTGCAGGAGTGAGAGACTCATTTGATTTTGTAATGTATCTTCCTGTAGACTTGAATTTTACTCTGATTTTCTTCATTCTGATGAATAAAATTGTCAGTTTACATATACGAAAACTACCTCTTCAGTCTCTTCTTCCTTTCTTCACTTGAAGCTGATTGATTTTCTCTAGGCAGCACCTCTGGGAACTGCAGAGAGATCAATATTTGAAGAAATGGGGAGGCAGCTGTAACATCACTAAATCTATTCAAAAGAAATAATTCAGTATTAACTCAGACGATTTTCTCTTGTGGTTGAATCAAATGGACATTTAATAGAGCTATTAATGTTTTCAAGTGTAGGTTAAAAATAAGAGGTAAACACACGAAAGGGCACCATGTTAGCAAGACACACTGCAGCCAAAATAAATTACAGCAATGGCCACTGGGCCAGGCCTGTGGCTATATGAAAGGAAAACTCTGTTCAGTGCTCAAAAGTTCCAGTTTGGTTAGTTCCTTTTGAATTAAGAGCATGGGGAGGCTGCTGCTACAGCCTCCATTTGGGAAATTTTGTGTGTTTACAGGGCAGACGTTCTCCAGAGTTCAGCTGTGAGAAAAGAAATACAGTGCTTTATTACAGCTGGGATCAGGAACTGAATGAATGGGAAGCAACAACTCCTGATCTCTGTTGGATATTCTTATTTTCTGTAGAGTTTGATTACAAAGTCACAGGAGCATGAGGAGAATGACACTGAACTGATGACTTATGTGCATGGATTGACTTCAGTGAGTGCAAGGAAAAGGACTGGATGAAGCAAAGAATGATAGATCCTGAGATGTGACCCCATCCCCTAGAGATCTCTCTGCCTCTTCTTTGATATCTCTCAAAATTGGTAACAAATTATTATAACATATTTATCTACAGATTTCTATTCATTACTGGAAGAAGCAAAAAGATGTATTCATTTAATCATCATCACAAGGCCTTTTGTGCTTCCACCCATATCCCATCCTGGTTGTGAATTGTCTAACAATTTATTGCCTAAATGATATAAACATTTGCATTGGTGGCTGTGAGTTCATGGCCTTCAGCCACTCTTACCCTGTGAATGCACAATTTCATTTCAAAAATGATATCTTCTGTGAATTTGACATAAAAATAGCAGACGAAGCTGCCTGGCACACTGTGACTCAACCACAGGGAGTAGGAAAACTTGTTTCAGTAGTAAATTACAGCAGCAGAAGAAACTGCTCTGTTTTCCAGGTTTGACAATCGAGGCACTGAGCCAGTAAATATGACTTGGCCAGGACATAGGTTAGAGTTTTCCATGCCCCCCAACACTCAGCACAGGACATTGATTTTTGATTAACAGCAGTAGAGACATAAGGAGATGTTTTCTGTGAGAGGACAGCGAAGAAATAGGATTTCAAAATAAAAAAAGAGTCAGAGATTTATGGAGGAGATGGTTTCCATTTGGGAGGGAAAAATTCACTGTACTTGTTTTTTTTGTAACACACACAAGTACTGGTGAAGGGATCACTGAGTTTGTCTAATGCCTCTTCTGCCAGGGAATGGTATCACTGTTACAAATATCTTTTTAAATTTATACATGGTGAGCTATAATGATAAAGACTTTCCAAAGCCAACTAGAGTTAAATTTAAAGTTAAGGATTTGGCTTCTAGAATCTGTTTTCTGGCACTCAGACTTCTGCTGGCATCATCCAGTCCTCCCTTCTCTCAGCAAATATTGAACATGTTGGCTTTAAATCTGATAATTTTTTAAAATATTTGTGTATATTTAAGTTATTTAAATATTTTTCAAAGGTTATCTTACCTTTTATGTAATTAGTGACATTTTATTCCACTATAACATTGATCCAAGATCACAAATTTATGATGGGAAGGGGTCACGAAGATATTTAACCCAGCAGAATGCAAAAAAATCCCAACATCAAATAGCCAAAATACAATAATATCAATTCTTTTAAACAGGGAATTTGATATCCAACCTGAAGAAGTCAGCCTTGGCATTTTGTTGTTCAGCTTAAATTGATCTGAGACACAACAGAAATGCCAGCTGTGGGTTTTTAATATAAAAGGCTTTGTCAAAGGATATTTTTTGATACTTTTTCTTCCAATGAATTAAGAGATTCCCTCTGGATGTCTCTTCTTCAAAGGAAGCATATTCTAGTTTACTTATATAACTCTTGCCCTAAAACATGAGATTTTCTCCTCGCCATTTTCCACCTGTTTACTATGGTTACTTCAACAAAACTCCATCTCCCAGAATTTTGCTGGGTCAAAACTCTTCCCTACAGACATTCTGCTCACAGTCAGTACAGAGAAATTATCTGTTCCGAGTCCATTGCCCATCAGAAGACGGGAATGCATAAATTATTGGCACCACCTATTGGCCACAAAGGCAAATTATACAGGACTGGGAGGTTAGTTTAAATATTTTGAGTAAATATGGCTTCAAAAGTTCCTCCTGTTATGTTTTATTTTAATGATACAACCCAGAAAAGCCACTCAAGCTTTGAATTTCCTTGTGTCAGAGACAGTTTGTTGGTCTGACTGGGGATACTTCTCCCCAGGGGTCACATAATGGAGGAGGAGGCTCCAGGTGAGCAGGTATCACTAACCTGACTTGAGTTTCAGGTTCTTCTGGGTACTTTTCCCATAAGATGCAAAGTTCTTTCCCATAAGATGCAAAGTTTTTTTCCACTCCATCACCACAAGCACCAGCTACAGCTGGTCAACGAGTCCCAAATCAAAGTGGCCTTGGTGACTTTTGGCTCTTGTGAACCAGGAAAGAAGCTGCATGACACAGAACTTGCTGAGGCAGATGCAAAATTATGGGAATTTCATGAGCAAAAACCCAAAATGTCCTGGCATCTACGCAAAAGATGATGACTGAAAGGAACTGCAAAGATCAAACCCATAATTTGGAGGCAGAAGCATCTGCGTGTTTATGTTCCTGTGTTCATCCCGATTCTCCTGTCTGTGACAAGGTTCACATATATCACATATCTCTAGAGGACGTTTTTTGACTGTGAAAAAAAGCTGAGCTGAGACCTTTGTGGTGACCCTCAAAGAGCAGAAAGAAGTGGAAGGGATCTGAAAACATTTCAGGTGTTTTGAATCATTTTCTATCAAGAAGTTCTAACTTGGATTATCACTATTAGGCTAGAAGTGATGAAAAACCTCTGTGCCATAAGACCTGTTGGTTCTTTGTGGCCTCTGGTGAACAGACTTGTTTGAATGATTTGCATTTTCACTGAATAAAAGAGAGGGGGAAAGAGAGAATGGCGTTTTGCTTCAGGCTACTTTCAAC